CAGTAATGACCATGATATGCACAGTGCATCAGATCCCTTGGATTTGATTACTAATGCGTTTTGACTCTCATCTAATGGTCCACATATTTTTTACTTTATTTTTTATTTCTGATTTTTATATTTAATTGTTTTAAACTTCAAAAAATCATAGAAAATTTATTTTTAGTCCAAAAAATCTGAAAAAATTATGAAAAATATTTTTGATTTTTCTCTTTCTGATTTTTATTTTTTTACAATTATATTTTGTATTTTGATATTTTTTATAAATTTTCACTTTATTTGAATTATTTTAAATGTTTAAGAATACTTTTACGCATTTTTAAATTCTAAAAAAAATATGGAATGATCCAATGATATTGTGACAAATATTGGTGACCTCATTTATTTTTTATTTCTGACTTTGTTATTTTTTATCATTTTTGGTTTATTTTACTCGTTTCTTTTAATTTTAAAAATAGTTTCTGACTTTAAAAAAAAATACCGAAAATTTTATAAAATATTTGAGTTCATTTCTGATTTTTCTGTGGTCTTACTTAATATTTATTGATTAGTTTGAACATGGTTGATTTTTTTCTTTCTTATTTATATTTTAAAACATTTTAAAAAACTTTTTTAATGTATATATTAAATGTAATATTATTTTGTGATTATTTTCTGGTTGATCTTGGGTTGAATTTTTTATCATGATCTTTGTTAACATCATTGGATCCATGGTGTTGAGTCTAACTCCATAAAAATGGATGAATGATTTTAATAATAGTTTGATTGAATTTTAATTCAAATGTGATTTGTATATTCTTTCCCACCCTTCTTCATCTTATCCCTTTCTTATTGCACTAAGTGTTATTGCAGCATGATCTCTATATCATATCTCAAAACAAATGGTGCATAGATTGCTATTGACCGGTCTCAAAATAGGTGCGACTTCTATATAAGTCCACTTACGATTGCTTAACATAGCGCTAAATTTTATCCCGATTCGAATAAATGATTATTCGTGGCTCAAATCTATGTTTGTAAGCCCAAGTATGTTAATTTGATCTCTTTGATCCAATAACCTTGAGATTCATTGTGTGGAGGCTTTGGTTCTACCAATCCTCTAATGGATCTACATCACTTTTGGTCAACGCGGATCACTTAAACATTGTTGATCATTAAATGGTACTTTTGAGAATTCAAAAATGGATGATATACTTGACAAAAAGCAAATGCAATTTGTTGTGTGGAGGCTTTGGTTCTACCAATCCTCTAATGAATTCCTAATACAAGTTTCAAGATGGTCATCTAACTAACCAATAATTACTAATAATTGACTTTATTTTGTGTTCTTACTTTATGCTCTTTTATTTTATGCACCGTTTACTTTAGCACTTACGTTTCATGCTATTTTTCATCTTTGCTCACTTGAGAATTTATATTCTTGTCATTTTGTATTTTTTGCTCACTTGAGCTTTTCTTTTTCAAGACACCTAATAATCAACATGAACCATAAAAAAGATTTAATGAGACTTGGACTATTTGGTTACTATCCTTGGCATTATGGAGTATTTGACTTCTTGGACTTAGGAATAGAAACCTTGGCCTATGTTAGAGACCTTGTGACCTTAATTGATGTTTTGTCTGGAGTTCTTGAGGTTTACCTCAAGATATTGGTTTGTTTGTTTGTTTTGTGTGCAGGTTATTGTGATTACATTCTTTGTTTGTAATCTATAATTCACCCGTATACATCTGTTACTCTGCCCAATTTTTGTGAAGACTTAATACATTTGAAATTTGGTTCTCTCAAGAGGTCTAGTATCTTTGCTTGCTTGGTTTCAATCCAAAGAATGAGAATTCTATCTTGCCTCATAATGTCAAGTATTGGCTTCTTGTTGGTTAGATGGTTCTTATCCCTAGCTTTTACCTTATGCTTTAGGATAGTCCCTTCTTCTCCTCACATCTTCTTTAATTTCAAAAATCTCCTCCCTCCTTTTGAAAACCCTTCTTGTTTCTAAACTTGAACCACTTTAATAATAAACTTAGACTTAGGTCCATGCACTTTCAAAAGATTTTTCATAAATAAACTTCAATCAACTTAATAATACCTTGACATTTTTTGTGAGAAGACTAAAAGTTAATCAATCTCATTTCAAACCATTTTTACACTTTGACTTTTTATTTTAAATATTTTTCTCAAAAGATTAGACTCTTGTCAATCCTTGTAGTGATGCAAACAACTATACTTCTATAATATGTAGTGAAGTGAGATATTTTCCACTTGAGTGTTGAGTGAGGCATTGTTGATTTTAAAATCCAAGCTACATCCTCCACTTTGAGATGATCCAAATTCTCCTTTCTCATAATTGTGGATAGTAAGTATGTTTTCCACACGGACAATGACGATGATGGCTTATCTCATAAAATCAATCAACACATTTGTGTTTTAAAATTTTTTAAAGAGGAACTACGTGTACCCTGATCCCCTATTGCACGGAAGGTGGTACATAGACACTAAAGGTTCGCAACCGCGGAGGGTGCAAAAATCATAAAAAATACTTCTTTTCTCACCTCCACCATCTATTTTTTATACAATATTTTATAGCCAAAATATACAGATTTTTTCAAAGAGGTTCCTGCGGAGTACCGTAGATATTTAGGGTGCTAATACTTTCCCTTTGCATAACCAACCCCCTTACCTTGAATATTTCCCCCTCTTTTTTGGGTTATTCGCTCTTTTCACATTCCTTTGGAAATAATAAAGCGCGGTGACAATTTTATTTTGATCTGTATAAGTCTAGTCAATCCAATGGCTTAGTCTTAAACATTTTTACCACTACAACAATCTATTTATGGTCACCAATATATCCACTAGTTGGTCTTGGTGTGGTCAGACCCATTAGGGTTGGAACTAGTACATAATATCTTGGAATGTATGTTATCAAATTAATGAAGTAAAATGACCTTTTTGATTTTTACTAGGTCAAAGAGTTTTCCTCCAAAGTAGGACATATTGGTTCTTTGCGAAGTGTTGATGTAAGCTGAAACTAGCAGTATGCCATTTTTTTCCAACTACTTTAGAAGATCATTTTATAATATGCACATGCCCAATTTGAAGATTATTCTAATTAAAAGTATCATTTGTCATTAAATTCCCTAAGAGTTAACTATGGCAAAATTACTGGTGCCATCTACATAGGTCTCTCACGTAGGCAATGTTGTATTTTTCTTTTACATTTTCAACAATCAGTGGCAGTTTTAAACCGCCATAAATTTGTTACGATTCATTTTGTGTCGATTTCAAACTGTCACAAGAGTTCAGAATTTATTTAGTGGTGATTTTAAACCGTCACAAAATAAACAGTAAAAGTTTTGTGACGTTTTCAAATCATCACAAAATCTTTATTGTTCATGTCGTTGTAACAATCAAATGACTTTGAGTAACAATGGCAGTTTGACCTTGGTCTCCTTCAACTTCTTAAATTTTAGAAGTGACATAATTATCATTAGAACTAGTGAGATACCCGCGCGTTCGCACGGCTACTAGTGTGTTATGCAAATTTGTTTTTTAAATATTATAAGAATTTAAAAAAGAAACAAAATTGTTATATCAAAATAGTTTATCATTTTTAAAAGAAAGGAATACTTTAATTTATATATGGATCATTCATATAAATCAATAATATATCGTTCACTTTTTCATATACTATCTTTAAAAAAATTGTATATTAAATTAAGAAGAATTTCAAAATAAAAATATTAATAATATAAATAATTAAAAAACAACATATTTTTCATATGTTTGAATTCATTATTTTAAATATTTGTACTTTTATTTTCTTTAATTTTATCAAAAATATAATAACTCGTGGGTTCGCATGAGTTCTGGTCTGGATACGCATAAGTACTGATGTGTTCCATACATTTGTTTTTAAAATATAATAAGAATGTAAAAAAGAAAAATAAAATTATTTAACCAAATAGTATTATCTATTTAAAAAAAAGACATTTTTCATTTATATTTAAATTATAAATATAATTTATCCATATATATAAATATTTGGATCAACCGTATTATTTTCCTTTAAAAAAATATTTAAAGCTTAACTGGAAAACCTGCAAAACCAATACGTATTCTAATTCTACTTCCTCATTAAGCCCATGTCACATCCAAGTGAGCATACATACACAAGTTGTTGGACAAGTTTAATATGTTTTTAGTGTTCAACTAATAGAAGTAGAGCAATTGTAAAGTCTGTTGTGTTGTGCTCTCATCGGTTTGTTAAATAAATTGACAAAAATAATAATTACTATCATTCTTGTAAGTTGGTTACAAGTACAATAAAATTTATATAGCCAATTAGAATAATTACACAATATTAAATGAAAATAGCAGTATGTGTTTGATAGAAGTTAAGCAATTAGAGAGGTCATTAGGTTTTTTTTAAAATATGTCGTCACTTGACTTACTTTTATACAAAAAATATGCAACTCCATTTATAAATCCTATAACCTCACAAAACCTCCATTTTATTACATGAATTTCTTTTATGGAAACAAAATTCTAGTCCCCCCTAAATGCAATTGCCATAGAGGTAGAAGATATAAAAATGTAAGAAAAAAATATGAAAATGACTTCACCATCAAGTTCTGCAGGCAAATAATGTTTAAATAGAGGTTCATAGAGCTGCGCTCTTTACATTTTCTAGCTTTATGTATAATTTCCTACTGTACCACAACAATCTCTGAAGCTCTTTTTCTTCTAACATATCTAATCCACGCTACATCTTTTGTGGCAAAACAAAAAAAATATTGCAAGCGAATATTGCCTCTTCATCCACTTGTAGCCCAACCGTGTGTAGACATGCATGATATGGTATGTAAAAGGAAATATCACACTAATGATGTGACCAATATTATAAAGAATATGATATGAAATATCTCCATGGATCACAAAATAATTTCCTTAATGACCAAGAGAACCAACATAGCAAAGCACATGATAAGAATGACCTTCACACATATTACCATGCCCCCATTTTCCGAGTTCTCTCTGCCTGCATGTTCCATAAACCAAATAATTATCATAGAGAAAAAGAGATAAAGAAAATGTTATAGAGAAGGCATGAGATAAACTGGAAACTAAAGCCAACATAAATAGTAGACAATAAAGTGAAGAAGGACCTTCTGCAGCTGCTTAAGGCCATCCTCAACTTTGGTTACCACATTCTGAATGTTGTAAAGGCAAATGTAAGGTTGTTATGAATAAGGAAATAAAATTACCTTGGGTGCAATAAGCCCACCAAATACAATTATTGCAGATATGAATGATGCACCTGTTAGATAGAGCTTCTTCAAAGTGTTGGGTGTCTACTTCAATCCGAAAAACATATAAATTAGTTAAGATAAAAGAATGAGTAAAACAAAAAAGATGTGCAACTATTTACAATCAACAAAACAGTTATGTTGGGAAAACAACATATACAAATTCCATTTCTGGATTCTCGATTATAATTTCTTGAAATAGTTTAACATTGGTGTAGAAGCTTTCTTGCTTTATGTTGAAGCTTCATTAGGGAACTATCAGAAACAACCTCCTTAGAACTCAAATTTATAGAAGCATTATTCAGATTTTGTGCCATTCATATTATCTTATCGACCCAAATTTAATTCAAACAGTTTGTTTCAGAAGTCACGTTTCTGTATTGTAAAAAAAAACAAAGTTGAATTAAGAAAATTTAAAGTACATGAAACAGCTGAAATTGATTGCCTGATATGATGAAAAAAAGATGAATGGATTCAGAAAACACTGACCTGAAATTTGATTATGGGTTGGTGAAAATGTTGAACTGAAATTTCAAACACATAAAATCGTAGAACTTAAAACCACAAACTACACAAACCAAATGCTACAAAACAACACTTACATAAGGAGTTATTAAGAAAATTTTCACTTATCTCACAATAAAATTAAGAGGATTTTTATCTTTGATACCAGATATAAAGACCCTCTTCTTGTCAATAAGACTCACTATTCTTGCACCTTTCACAGTAACCACAACACCATCGGCCAAAACCACTTTCTTCAAGACCCCAGCTTCTACATCATGCTGCAAATACCAAAACAAAATCAAGTCAATTTCACATTAACCACATCCAACTACACCATTTGAATTCAACTCCCTTACTCTTTACAGCACACACCATTTAATCTTTACCATATCACCAAAACAATTTTTTTAATATATTCCAATCATATATTTAAGGAATGAAAAAAGTTTCATATAAGGTAATATATAATTATTGTTTAATTGATGAAGACAAGTTTGAATTTGTATGTCTTATGATAAAATTAAATGTCTCTGCATATTAAGATCAAATCTTCACACAAACAAAATGAATTATTTCTAATGTACAGTGATACATAACACGGACACCAGAAACACGACACCAATACAAACATGTCAACAAAGGTAATAATTTTTTAAAATAATGAATTAAAATAATCATATGCCGGTTTCAGACATACACATTTCGGACATAAACATTGACCCAGAGACACATTTTTCAGAGGTGTCAGTTTCAGATATAGACATCTCAGAGAATGTCATTGACAGAGACACACCTTCTTACAGATTAGTCCTCAAGATAGAACCATAGAACACAACCAGTGCCAAAGCTAATCAAAAGACACAATAAATTCCATACATACAAATCTAAAACTGCTCTTGGATAACTCTATTATTGATTAATCAATTATATTAAAAACATAAATTCGATTTCTCAAGTTAAAAAACATGAATTTAGCAAAATGTCAATAAAATAATTTACAACAAATCAAGGGAAGATTAGAACATGACTTACAGGGAGAGAAATTCTCATATCCTTATCATCCTGAATCCAAAGCTCCATGGGTCCAGCAAGCTGAAACGGAGCCAAAACGGGTAACCCATCCCCCGAATCCCATTTCACCAACTCATTTGATCCTCAGCCGGAAAAACCGGAAGATCAACATAATCCTAACATTTTGTATCTTCAAGAAGCTTAAACGGAATAACCTTATTATCAATTTCAACATCAAATTGATATTCTACAAAATGTCCAACCCGAGCTTCTCTCGGTTCAAATCTCATAATCTTGATACCATCTTTCGCCGTAAACCCTAACCCTTTCACAATCGATTCCTTCAAATCCTACACAAAAATTAACCGTAAAAAAATTATTATTTATTTAATTATAATTTAATTAAATTTGGAAAAGAATTATTACATAAAAAGCCTTGGAATATGGAGGATTGACGTTGGAAGTAGGTACGGTGTGGGCCGAATATACCCGTGTGTTCCACACACAAAATAAATAATAAAAATCAATCGCGGTAACAATATTAAGAAGAGACTCTATAACTTACGCAAAAGATTTGGATGCAATCTAAGGCTGAATGCATGTTGATTTATAGGGGAAAGAAGAAACTAATCGTTTGGAAGAAGAAAGGGAAAGCAAACATTGGTAATGACATACTGAACGAATTGATTACAACAAAAGAAATTATGACAACATGAGAAAATTTCAAAATTCGTCCAATCAGATTATTTCTTGATGAGAAAATTTCAAAATTCGTCCAAAAGAAATTAGCTTTTTTTATAAAAGGAGAAAACTGAACTTTCCACAACATATTCCTTTCTTATATGGTAGATTGGCTCGTTTAATCTCAAACTCTAGCTTGTTGAACTACATTATATGAATCATGAGTTTAACAATGTTAACAAGTTGTTGAGATACTTGATAGATGATTTCATGTATCTTTGTGCCTTTTAGTTATTTAATAAAATATGTTATTATTATCACTATGTTTCAGGTGGATCATTGAACGTGTCTATAAAATGAATGAGAAGAGTCGAGGATGTTGACACTCTCAAAATTTGTAGTAGTTCTTCGAGTCTTTGTTGGCCTGACCACTTTAAAGTCAATGGGTGATTGATTCACGTTTCAAATATTTATTTCTAAATGCGTGTGCATAAAACTTATAGAACTGGTTTATTTTTTTAGTGTTTTTGGTCGTAGTGTCATATCAAACATGTCAAATTTGTTGTTTAATTGAAAATTAGCCAAGATATCAACTAATACCTCTCAATATTGATTATATTTTCTTAAAGAGATTACAATAAGGAAAGGAGTTTTGTCTTAAATTCAATTATTCTTCGGGTGTGAGTTCTTTAACTACTCCATAGTGTTAAATAATGTTAAATATGATGATTGAGCTACTAAGTTAAAAATGCATAAATGTAAGATAAAGTCATAAAGATTAAGTGATTAAAATGTGTAAATTAGTTTGTTTGATTGATTGTACATATTGAAAATAACTTACATGTCTTGTATTCATAAACAAACACTTTTTTTACTATCCAAAACTGTTAGTCGGTTAATTCTTGTTATATAGTTATTTGGGCTTTTAGCATGTAATTGAGCATGGGCATTTTTGCCTATATAAAGGGCATTGTGTTTGTGCAGTAAGAATAACAAATCAGTTAGATAGTTAGTTACACATAACTAACTCATTATTTTCTATCTCTCTTATTCTTCTTCTTCTTGTTTTCACAAAAGCATCTTTCTTGAATCATTTGTTCCAACAAATTGGTATCAAGAGCTTGTTTGCGATTCAGAGAGAATCTAATGGCAAACGGATCAACAACATCAACACAGTTTCCAGCAAATCTACCGGTTTTCAAAGGTGAAAACTATCAACGATGGGTGGCACAAATGAAGGTTATTTTCATATTTCAAGATGTTGTAGAAATCTTGAATGATAGAATTTCAGAACTGGAAGTAGATGTAATGCAATCCCGGAAAGCTGCGCACAAAGATCAGAGGAAGAAAGATGGAAAGACGTTGTTATTGATTCACTAGTGTGTGGATTGTGATGTATTTGAGAAGATAATTGAAGAAGAAACAACAAAAAGAGCTTGGGAAAAGCTGAAATCCTTGTATGGTGGAGATGAGAAACTGGAGAAGGTGAAGTTGAAGACTTTGAGGAAGCAGTATGAGATACTTCATGTGATCGGTGGAAATAGAACTGACTGTTTTTAGCTGGTTCGCGAAATGTCGCAGAAGCAAGAGTCGCCACCGTCTTTTATTTTCTCCAACATGGACAGGACAAAAGCACAGCAAAATTCCTTATGAGATTGTTTCTCGATTCGGGAGGTAGATTTATAGAAAGGGAAAGTGTTAGCACCCTTTCTATCCATGGTTATCCATGGGCTCTTAGATACTTGCTCTTATGTTTTCAAAATGTTTGCTTTTCAAGATGTGAGTGGGTTTGAAATAGTTTCATTGAAAGATTTATGAATGACTCTTGTATCTGTCCTCAAGAGTGTTTGAAAAATTTGTTTTGAAAGCTTTTGAAAGTGTCGGTGTGAAAAGATTTTTGATTTGTTTTTTAAGAGAGCAAGTATCTATGAGTCATCTACCTACCCTAAGGAATTAGGCTGTGTTTTTGTCCTTAAGGTAGTGCCATCCCACCATTGAGAGGTAGGTAGCACCACCGTTGGAGGTGTTCGGGTCAATTCGGTTATAGGGACAGTGTGGTCACCGAAGCAACAGTAGGACACCTTAGAAGTAACCCTAATGTCCTATATCCTTTTTAATCCGAGGCAACCGTTTCGAGGCGACTGGATCTCAGACATCAGAGCGACCACTAAAACGTCCTATACTTGACGACCACGTTTCGAAGGCAACGAGTGAGGCGTACCCTAGAAGTGGTGTGTGTATTGTGTGTTATTTTCATGTTATGTTTTATCTTTGATCATGACATTGTGAGCTACGCGTTGTTTTTAGTTATCATACATTCTTTCATGCGAGTTTAGCAGTTAGGAGTGCGGAAATTTAAAAGACGGAAAGATAAAAGCTACGCTATTACAAGGCGCGGGTCTATACATCGCCAAAATACAAAGACCTGTTTTCGATAAGAATGCGGAAAGTAAAAAAAAGCAATAAACCTAATTACTATTACATCCTTGAACAGTTACATAATAATCAATAAGAAAAATAAGAATAACGTGCGAAAGAATAAATTAAACCGGACGTCCGAGGGTTTTGGACCCTTTTGAGAAATTAAATTACATTAAACCTAATTAATTATTTAATTAAAGAAAAGAAAGTGTTTTTTATGTTTTTTTTGTATTTATGAAAATAAAGAAAATAAAATCAAGAGAAAACCCTAATTCTAAGTCTATTTTAATTATTAATGAAAATATTAAAGTTAACATAATTTACTAGTTAATTAATTTACATGTTTATTTACAAAAATAATAGTAATTAATAATAATAATAATAAATAATGATGAAAATAATTAATTAAGAAAAAGATAAAAAATGTCAAAAACCTAATTCTATGTATTTTTTATTTATTAAGAAAAGAGATTAAATTTTAAACCTAAATTAAACTAAAATTAATTGTTAATATTTATTTACAAAAAATAGGTTAATGATGCAATTAATAAATAATTAAAAATATTTACAATTTTTAGTTTCTGATTTTTATTAGGAAAATTAATTTGAGGTGAAATAATAATAATAATTAAAGCAATTAAAAGAATTAAAAAGAAAAGAAAATTAAATTGAATATGCAAACCAAGGGGGGTGTCTGGCCCAAAGTGGAGGTTTTTGAAGCAATTCAGGCCCATTAGGCAAGGCAGGCCTCGTTGACTTTCTAGTTGTGTGCATGATGGTTGACTGGAGTATATAAGGGGTTTCATTCTGTAACCACTGGATTGATCATCATACGCGCGTGGCAAGCTTAGGCGTGAGGATGCATGGTGGGATATTGAACGAATACTGCACTAGAACATGTTAAAACAAAAATCATCAATTATGTGGGGGGGACTTGGGAATCGAACCCAGGTCCCAGCGTTTGCCAAGCGTGTCATCCACCATCCAGCCATTCAAGCGCGTTTGTAGTGTAACTGGAAAACAATTATTATATAAAAAATATGCCAATTATGCTGAGATATAAAAAAAACGCGCTAAGATTTGAATGCTCCAGTAGCATGATGCCACGCCTGTCTTCTTCCTCGTTTTCACCTGCAACATGAATAAGATAGCGGGGGTTTTAAACCCCCACAAAGCAGAAGTCCAAAAAATAGCGATTACGCGCACAGATTATATAAATTGAGCGTGAGTGTCTCAATGAATTAGGCTTGTTGCAACGAGTTCGTCCATATTGGTCTTGAGGTCCAATTTTACAGTACAAGGAAAACCCCAATATGGGAGCTCTGAAACCCTAAAACGTATCAATGGCAAATCATGATTCAGAGCCCTATAATGCAATTAAACCATGTCATTAGCTTCAGAAGGTTCCTGTGAATACAAAACACCCAACAATATGTATCAAATGCGCATGAATTATGACATGAAATTCTGGAAAATAATGCAAACCGTAGGGCTTGTTCTTGCGCGTTCTTTGGGTTTCAGGACTCGTTCTTGATTGCAATAGACTCCTGGAGACTCGGGCAAGGTGATTGAATCCTTTTTAGGCGTGGAAAGGCACTGCAAGTAGGAAATCAGTTTCACACTTTTTCTCTATTTTTTGCAAATTGGTTCTATGGCTTCAGCAGCTTTCACGTGTCTGTAGCTTTAGGGTTAGCTTATGCCTTTGTATGTGAACGAATTTAGGTCAAAACCTTGGCCCAAAAGTCCATGAATTAATGTTTGCAATCTTTGATTTTCAATCATAAAATTTCAATCTTTTTTTCAATGAAACCTTGCCAATTATGGAGATCTTGTCCCCTTGAGTGATGCACGAGACCTTTAGCATGTGTGGAGTGTATTTGCTTCATAAAAAGATTTGCCAACCATGCTTTGATATTTTTTCTATAATTAACCAATTAAATGAATTAATAATAATAAAAACTCAATTAATTAATTAAAAATAAGAAAATAAATTCTTTTAAGCTCAATGGGTCGTGCATAGGCCTTGGGTAATGATTCAAGAAAGAATTTGAGGCCCATTAGCAAAATTGAAGTGTTTTAGGCAAAGTTGACTTTTGAAAGTTCCCAAAAATTTCCCAACTTCTCCAATGCATATCTTGCTCAATTTTGAAGCTATGAACATGTTCTTGGACATTTTGGAAAGTTCTTGAAGTCCTCTAACCAATTCCTTTGGTCCCATGTCATTTGGATTTACCAATCTCAAAATATGGTCTTTGACTTAAAGTGCCTTTTTGTTGACTTTTGAAAATGACCTATAATGTTGAAATTGATAACTTTTTGTGAGAGCATTTCTTGGACTTGGAGTGTGAAGATGAGTTGTAGGAAATGTCATCCCCTTCAAAATGAGCTTTGGATGCGATTTTTATGATAAACCATGAAGAAGTTATGCCTTGGTCAATTTGCAATTGACTTTCCAGCTGTCCAAAAATAGAAACTTTTGCATCTTGAAACTTTTTTGAGCCATGCTTGTGGAATCATGATCAAGAATTGATAAAATGATGATTGTGGCTTCAAAATAAGATGTTGACCAAAAATTTTGACTTTTGACTGTCAAATGACCATTTTGCCCCTGCAGTTGACTGTGGAGCAATTAGGGTTTTTGACTGTGCCACTTGATGTTGTGAGTCTTGAAACTTGAGATATGGATGCTTGACAATGTATGTAGGCATATGGGACTTGATTGGACCC